TAGGAGGAATTATGTATGTGCACATCGCTTCTGAATAAATTGATAAAAATGTTCCGATGGATCAACAAGCACACGAAGAATGATGTGGTGGCTTTAAACGCGCCTTCTAGGACGATACGGTGAACAGAATTTGTATGGGAAAAAGGTCTCTACTCTCTAGGGGATGAACTGGATGGTCAAACAATAACAGTAGTTCCCCTACTAATAACTCTTCCACTCATTGCGTCACACTACGCAGCTGGCGATAGATACACATAGGCAGGTGAAGTGTCCTGAACGGGAGGCGTATGAGGGATTTTAGATCCAAAGAAGTAATGACAATAAAGATAAAACATCCAGTGTTGATTTGTTTCTTACTGGGGTGCGCCATGCACATAACTTACATTCAAAATCGAAGCTACCTTCTGAAAGCAAATTGACTTCTACATCGGATTGCGGAGGCCATCCGATGTATGAATCAGTGATTCTTTTCTCCTATACTCGCAGGGGCCAACTCATCTATCTTGAAAGGGTGATGGGGGACGTCAACCTGGACGAGCTTCCATCCAAATCAAACTTCGAATTATGCGCGCGATATGCGGCGCCACGTGCCTCTACACCATTCCGCCACACGATCTTACGTAAAAGTCATGATTTTAATTCAGTCGGCCTCTTTGCCAAGATGGCCTTCACAGGAAGTTCGTATAGGTCCATCAAAGTTTGTAAGAAAACGCGACGGTGTGAAATTTAACACTCGACAAGCAAATAGTAGTTGTGCTTGATCGCGGAGAGTACGATGTAAGGTGACACGTGAAGTGCAAAAGTGAATATTTCGCTTCTCAGGAGGAACCCATCTTGGTCAGGGGTGCTCTCAAGGTTTATGAGCTCGAACTGGGAGGTAGCAATCGAAGGCCAACAGAAGCTCGAAGTGTAATATTTGTTAGAGACCTGCCTGTCTGGGACCTTCATTCTCAAAATTGTAGGTCAGTTACCAGATTCGTACAATTCGGCCAGGAGCTTATTTATAATAACGTCTAAGACATTGAGGAGTTAAGCTCCTCTCCGATTCGTGCTGATCCACGGATCAAGGCATGTGTGGCGGTCCTGCTCGAGAGCTGTGCCCCGATGAGACATTTATATAGCTTCGATTTCCAATACGGGACCGATGTGAGGTAATACAAGCTTGAAACCCCTTAAGTCAATCCTTTTATTGGCAGTTTCGTGAATCTGAGGACCTAGCATCTTTACGAATCGCAAGGGAGTTTTCCTAAGTACCGAAACTTCTTGTATACTCATCCGCAGGTAATGCACTAACCTGGGGTAAAGGAGTATATCACTCAAGTATGGGTAAGACATAGGGTGGTTCGTTTTGCCTCCCACTGAAGCGAACCTCTGAGGCTCTTCTGTTAGTAAAGTGTAGGCCATTCTGCCAGTAAAATATTTCAGTATATTTAATCCGACTAGATCTGTGAGCCCCGCTGACCTTTTGTCTCCTAGTGGTCCCGCGGTTTGACTTAATGGCCCCATGAAAACGACTACACTTACACACCGGCGTCTCGCTCCTAAGAGTTGGTCTCTGTATCGATGAAGGTGTTTCACTCGGCAGGTGGTCTCGGTAGTGAATAGACGCTAAGTGTGCAGTCTCAATAACCCCCGCTGGCGTTTAGCATGTTTCGGACGCAATTACACTCATACATACTGTAACCTAGGACGTACACACAATAGATGGCGACCAAGTGCAGCTAATCGAGCAAACCGCACGTAATTGGAGACCACCTTAACACCAGCCTCTTTCCACTCGTACTCGCTCGCGCTCCCTATTCTCTCGACAAACCGGGTTTCAAAGGGATTTTTATTGTCAGATTCAGGGCGGGAGAGTTGACCACGAGGGAGGGTGTGCTGCTATCAGTCCCCACTTCAGCCCTAATAGGAGCGCTTCTCTATGAGGTCAGAAATCTTGTGTGCTGGCTCCCTCTCTCATTAGTCTGTTGAATGCTCGCAAACAAAGAAGTGTCGGCGAAGCAGATCGAAACGAGCAAATGCGGGCGCTTGTTGCGATCGACTCTCTTCGGCCCTATCAAAACACCCGACGCAGTGTTTCCATTACGCCCATACTCAACTACGGTACTTACTTCCTACATTACCCTCACTCCACTGTCCTATATGGTAACAACAACTTCGCTTCGGCTACAGACGTTTTGCTCCCCCCCCCCCCTCAGCCCCTCCGCACTGTGCGAGTGTGTGTTCAGACGAAAGAATACCTGGTGCTGGTTGTAATAGAGAGCGCGGTTGTTTGGGCATCGCATCGCTGTGGTTGATGAGTAGTCGTCTCTTGTTCGCTGCAGCTCTCTTTCTCATCATCACTCAAGGGCCCGCGGGCGCAGTGTGTGCGTTTGAGTCGCATAAGCTGCGTATCATTGGCGACCACGGCGCGCTAACAGGATTACTGTATGGTCAATGTTCGGAACAACGTCAGCAGCGCAGTTCGCAGACCTTGACTGCGGCTTAGACATTTGATGCCTATCATCATCAGAGATTGCGTCGCCGTCTTTGCCTGCTATCATCGCCGTAGGATCCAATCTGGGCCGATCGCCGACGTAAATCCAGCGCAAACCCACGATCCCCTCACCGCGCGAATCGCGCGATATTTTCGTACAATGGGCGGAGTCCGAGGCGGTGTACTGTAATGTGATACGGGTCCAAACACAAGACGTCCCGTACCGTAATCCCTCAACAGCACCACCAGCAGTCGCTTATCCGGCAGAAAACCGAGCATTAGGATTAGATGAAATGTGAGGTCGATGCATGACGATGACAACGACGAGGCACATGCAGTGCAGTAGTAGATCCGATAAACAAACAATTCCATCTCGTAAGTCGATATTGTATCTACCGTAAGACAGCGGATCGTTGTGGGATTCTAATGACTGAAAATTGAAGAGCGGCTATGTTTTGATGCGGCCCTCGTTGGCAGCTGCATTTAGTCCAATTACACACACTGAGTTGCCTTTCTGCTCGCTCATTCGACCTCGAGAGCTGGCTTTGAAAAGACACCATTATCGAATGCAGATGGAGTGGAATAGAGCTGCATAAAACGCCGCTTAGCCTCAGGCGATAGGGTAAGGTGGGGTCCCTGGTGTGGACACCCCTACTGTAGCGCTGGCCGTATCTGTCGTACCCGTGAACTGGAATTTTCATCCATCGAATCCCCTGATCTGATCTCAGTTTCGCATTATCGCCAGTCGGCCCCCCTGTCCATCGATCCATTAGTTATCGCTCCTCTTCACTGAACTCATTGTTAGGTCACAGCACCTATTGAGCGCGTCGCGGTTGATTCGGCGCAATGTCCTGAATAGTGAATTTGATTCCCGTGACGAATACATGTCACTAATGACGCCGGTAATACTTGGGTGTTTAGCGCTTGTCGTCTCGATGGCGCGCATCTGTGGGGTGGATTCGCTGACGCAGGTTACGCAACCCGCTTGACACTATCCTAATTGCCCCATCGTCTAATCGTTGTACGGATTACATCGAGTGCCAGTAGTGCAAACATTGTCAGAATAAGCGACTGCTGCCGATTGGCCTAATGCCAACAAATGACTACATGCTTCTCCGGCAGAACTCTACCCACCTCAGCAAACTGGTAATGCCCACTAAGTCCATCCATTTTCTGTCCAGGCAAAGTCTTTTGTTTCCGGAGGCCGCCATTGGACCCCTTATTGGCCACTGAATGAACACAATGAGAAGCTAGTGATATGAAAGAGGGGAAAGATGGTGGAGAGAAGAACGACAGACGCGGAGAGGAGTAGATGGTTAGGCGAGCGCCTTCACATTACAGGCCATTAGCACGACACGAGAAGACAAATTCTCCTTGATGGCAATTTGCGCTCCGTGGGGAAATCGCTGCGATTGTGTTGGAGTTGATAACGGATTGTAACCGGAGGATGTGAACCCGGGAGATAGCACCACGACAGCTCCCGGAAACACTGACGCAACATAATGACGAGCCCGTCGGTACCGGCCCCCGAATCCGCGTGTACTACCCCGTGAGCAATTCTAGGTGCGAACACGACTCGCTGTAGCCCCTGACGGGTATTTGCTCTCCTCATCTCTTATCTGATCTATGCCGCGTGTGGTGTAACCCTCAGCGTTCAAAAAGCATTGTTAGCACGAGGGAGCTAGGTAGCACTCATTCAGAAACACAGTTACCGTATCAACTCAGGTAAATGGTCCTTCGGAGAGCGACGACCATGGCGCGCCGATACCCCACTCTCTTAACTTGTTGATGTGACTGTAGAGAATAGATGGCGAAAAGTGAAAAACACTCTCGACTACTTATGTCCAATGAATGATCGCAACCAGACAGGTTTTCCATGGCGTTTGCTTTCCATCGACCAACTCAAGGCATGTTTCATTACGCGTGGAACCTGCGATAACCCTGGGGTTCAGAGCGGGGTTGACGATGAAGCCGAGAGTGTTGCAGGCTGGCTGCGTCACACGTGGAGTGTGGAGAGTCGCCCAAAACAAAGTGGAAGAAAAAGGCCAACGGCACCGCCAGCCAGCCAACGATTTGCACTTATGTGTGTGTGAAATCTCGGCTTTATAATGTTCACTTGGGAGGTGCTTTCATAAGCGTTCCTCGCCTCGTCGACGTTAACCGCGCTTTCCTCCGGAAGTTTCAGCGATGATTTCCTAAGGACTACATAGAGATTGAGTCTAAGTGAGTGTCTGTGTGGTGTCGACGACGACGACCGGAAATATCCTTCGGATTTCCGGCTCATGCTCATCGCAAATCGCACGTTCAGCAGCACAGCCACAGCCCCTGTTAGTGCTGCTCATGCTCAGCTGCACCCGTGGACTATCATCGTTCTCGCATCGCGCATCGTGCGCTCGCTCTCCCCCCTATTCTCATGACGGCGGTGGGTGTGGTCGGTGGCCGGGCGACCAATCACGCACACGCGTGCCGCCCATATCATTAAGCAAGCTGGCGGATCATTGTTGGTACGGTTGTTCATGTGGAGATGTTCACACCGGAGCAACTACAGAAAGTATGGATGCAGTTGGCTTTACAAGGTATGGGCGCCAATCTGGGTGCCCTGCAAGCCTTGCAAGCCGCCAACATGTCAGCTCCACCCGCAACAGGACCACCACCTGGCCTATTCCCACCGATTCCTACCGCGACAATTCCGGTTGTTAATCCCGGATCGCCTACCACATCCAATTTGACAGCTGAACAAGTGAGTTTATTTCGATTTCTTCCTCTTTCTTTCCATTCTTGACATTTCACTTTACGGACCTTACTACGGAAACTGCCCGTTGGTTCTGTTGGTTGGCTCATTGTTCATCAATCATTCCATTCATTCACCACAATCCAAACGGATGCCCATATCAGGCATCTGATTCACTTCCGCTCGGATCGTGCTTTTAGTAATCGAATGCCGTTTCTTTCTGATTCAACTTGCGCAACCTTTTGCGACCATAACCATCATCGTCGCCAAACAATTCAACTCTTCCCATACCACTCAATACATCGCTGCAGCAAAATGTCATCTCACTTCCCTTCAATTCTGACTAGAATTATACCTACTATCGACTTTTCCGGCTGTAATTTGGAACCACTTTTCCAGCTCCTTGCATTGAAAGCGATCTCTTTGTGCATTTTCTGCAGTCATTTAGCCCCACCGGGGCTCAATTTCAAGCGCTCAGCTCTCAGTTATTCTTTACTGAACAACAAGCAGCTGAATTGGCCAACGGTGTTACCTAGAGCAATTTGGTTTTTGAAGGGCACAGAACGCTTTGTTCAGGGGGAGTTCGTGCAGTGTTTCGGCGAACTGAGAGTGCAGATGGCTTTCATATCCGAGCGGAGCGCGACAAGCTTTCTCCAACAACCCGACGACGGTTGAAATGAAATTTACACGGGAGCTCTCTTGTGTGACGACGACGTCGTTAAGGCATGAGATGCTCGTGTTCAGTGATAGCGGAAATCGACGACACACGCACCGCTGCCGCTTTGCTGCCGTTTCCTTTCAGATTCGGACTTCTTTCCTCGTAATCTCATGACATTCCGTTCTCGTCGGAATTCGCACGTCGACCTTACCTTCCTCGTTTTCTGCTTTTTCGTAGCTGCTGCAAAAGTTGTCGTTGTCGGCTTTTCACTCGGGATAGCCTCTGCTTGGATCGCTGGCTCAAATAGGCTCGATACGGCCAGCTACTCACGCCTAACTGGTCACATAACAACACTAATAATCGCAGCATGAGAGATGTTGTGATAGCTTCAGCTCGGGTCTAATACGGCCCGAAACTCATACTCGTCGTATCATTGAGCAGCAACTTTTGCAGATTATCCAAACTTGTGATCAGCTCGAAAAAGCCGATGATGTCGATCGTCTGGCTCGATTTCTCTACAGCCTACCGCCGACACTTGCTCAAGAGGTAAGTCACCAACATAGGCAATCTGACCAGTTCCTTAACGATCTGCTTCCAGGTGGTGTCAAACGAGGTGGTGCTCAAAGCCCGAGCGCTAGTCTGTTTCCATATGGGTGATTTTCGGCAACTCTACAGTATTCTCGAAAACCACAAATTCACTCAAGGAACCCACCAAAAGTTGCAGTACATGTGGCAAGAGGCGCATTATCGTGAGGCCGAGAAACAGCGTGGAAGGTTGGTTTTTGAACGAGACAATTATCTTTCAAACAAGAACCTTTAGCCCTTGTCCTGGAACGAGGGGACCAATGCACGTGCCTTCGTGGGCTAAATTAAGGGTGATATGGTGAATGTTTCTTCCTGGAGACATGTCGCTTGGTTAATATGCGGTAATTACCGGGTACAAAGAGGGATAGCATGCCGTCTGCTAGCCGGCGTTGTGGTTACCTTGTAATTAGTAGATTCTACTAATTTGCGTTAAGGCTGCAAGTCAAGAAACATATGGCATTCGGGCGCTACTACAAATCTCTGTACACGGGTCAAAAATCTCCGCGCTAAGCCTTGTTTTCCGATTCAGACCCCTCGGACCTGTCGACAAATACCGTGTTCGTAAGAAGTACCCGATGCCGAGAACGATCTGGGATGGAGAACAGAAAACCCATTGCTTCAAGGTTTGTGGGGATTTTGTCAATTTTTTTAGGAAAAGCTGGTTACTTGATGATTTTGAAGTTTCGATTTCAATCTTCAGGAGCGAACTCGTTCATTGTTACGGGAATGGTACCTGAAGGATCCGTACCCGAACCCGAGTAAGAAGAAAGAGCTAGCAAATGCGACCGGTCTAACCGCGATGCAAGTCGGCAATTGGTTCAAAAATCGACGACAGAGAGATCGAGCAGCGGCGGCGAAAAACAAGTGAGTGTTGTGTCGAGACATCAAAGCGATTTCCATTAGTGGTTTGGTAACAGAATGAGGGTCTTGTTAACAAAAACATGGCCACAACTGGCAGTCGAAAACCTCTCATCAGCATGAGCGTTTGCTCCTTACACTTGCCCCATGTTTCGCTAAACGATCAGCCAGTCAGCCAGCCAGTCAGCCAGCCCTGTTGTGTGGTGGGGGAAAGGGTGTCCTTGACTTTGTAGCATTAGAGTTGCGTTGGCATCTCATCGATGGTCTTCTTTCCCGTCGCCATCACCCTATTATTTTCGACTTAGCGCTAGTTGTGGCGAGTTCTGATGCAATGATACCTCGTTGTGTCGCTGTGTTTCGTTCCTCGATCACCTTTCGATTTCCTTTTTGAGGTCGACCAATGTGGGCGAATGGGCTTTGGGAAGAAACTCGAGAATGTCCATGTCATTGTAGACAAAACACGGCTCGTGCAAGCGAATAGCGCGAAGCCTATCGAAGCTATGAATCGCGAAATTTGTTATTGAAACACGCATGAAAACGAAATACTGTGACGCACACCGGCGTCCTCCGCAACACCTTCAGCGCCACACTGACATTGGCCCAGAACTGGCAGGAAACCCGCTAGGGTTTCGTTGGGGGACCCGTGATCCCCTGAGCGGAATTTTATGAGCTGTGTCCGTAATAAGACTATTATGTAATGTTAAGGCTGTAAAATCTCGGCTGAGCTCCCTCGAGCTTAAAATGCTCGAAAACGCTTGCGGTTTGGTAGCAAAATAATCTGACTTAGGATAAGTCCAAGGACCACAAAACGTTAGGGCTAGCAGAAATAATTTCGGATCATGGACATAAGTAGTGATCGATTACTTACCCAGGAGGGGGCAAACACGTTACATGAAGGGCCTTTAGGTCCTTATGGCTTCCTACCGCTTTCTGCCGGATCACCTTTGCCCTAAACGTCTCCATGAGAGCTATGTGACCTCATGGAACGGATCTGTCAGTACGTCTAAGTGCTACTTCTTTATTTCGAAAAATCCCCCACGCTTTTCAAATTCAAACAAATTGCACCTTCAACTTTTTTTATGTAGAACCTATTGAGGACCATGATTTTCAGGCAAAATGTAATCGGGGTGGAGCTGAAGAAAACGTGCGGTTCGGACGGCTTCGGATAGCGAAGACGAGAACGACTTTGAAGACAGCATGACCGACTCGCCGTCACCGATCGACGAGCCGAAAGACCTTTCGTTACGACCCTCCTTTGGCGCCGAACGACTTCTGGAGCCGCCATCGTTCACGATGAACCCTCTATTCTTATTCAATCCAGCATTTCTTCAGATGGCAACAGCAGTAGCCTCCAGTTTGGCGTTACTCTACCCGTGAGTAGCTCACCGCTTCAGCCTCCTAAACGTAACAAACTGTCTATTGATGAGATTCTTGATCTGAAACCTGAACCCAAACCCTGCACATCACCACATTCACTCTCATCTTCGTCTTCTAATTCAAATAAGGAATTGTCCTCGTCCCCTGAGGTGAAACGTGAACCGATCGCCACCGCTGCCACCGTAGCACATTCAGAAGCCGAGCAATTAGTTGTATAGTCAAAAGTCTCGGATCAGTTCTGTTATGACCTTGTGGTGGTCATGACCGTAGTAAATTATGTGTTTGTTGTTGTGATTCAGCCAGGTTAACAATAGGTCAAACCAAATTCCTAGAACACGACGCGTCCGCGACCGCTGCCGCCTTGATGGCAGCAGATATTCGTTAACGGACCCCGCTTTCGCTCACTTTGCGGACATGTCGTGTTCTTTTGTGCACGATTGTGATCCATGTACAGATTGTATGACGAGGAGCTCCCACCTTCTCGTCTGCTATATTCAACATTGTATGCCAAACGATTTTGTTTTGTTGAAAATAAATAAAATTGAACTGCTAGAGCGATTTTCGCCGGTTATCCACCCCAGGTCACTTGCATATCACTGTTTTGGTCTCACTCATTCTTCGTGGGTTTTATCCCACTCCGAAGCCAGACTTTGGGGTTTATAGAGGCTACTGAAGACTTGTGAGAGCTTTTTGAACCTCCTAGAGCTAAGATCACACAAGGGCGCTATCGCAAGATACGGGGGCATTTAGGAGCAAGCCCAGGAGGGAGCAGAAACTCTGAGGGACATTGCTCATGCACCCTGTGTTCCCTCCTTCCCGTCTGAGGCTCAGTCCCGTTTTACCAGAAAGGAGATATTTTGATGGCTTCAATGCGCTGTCACCACAATGCTCCCTCATTTTGCGATAGCGCCCTCCACACGTAAAATACTTCGGAATTATGTAAAAGGGCTAAATTCATATGGTATGTTCCAGTAATTTTGAATCTAATCACATTTCATTTTCAACTTTATACACTGACAATGGAACATTTACTACAATTAAGTAATATGTATACTGACCACGAGTACAACCTCTATTTATTGATCGACAGTGTAGGATGATTTTCCTTCTTCATGGGAATTGGAAGTGTAACAACGTGTTTTGAACCTCGTCAACGCCCGTTTCAATATCACACTTTACACATAATAGCCTCAATATTCCACCCTGTCACGCAAATAATGCAGTTTCTGCATCCACTAGGTACCCTATATGCTAGGTTTGGGGCCCTAAGCACCCTCAGAATCGGGATACGGTCCCTATTTGGACCCAGTTCTTCGCAAGTGACCCCATCCAAATTCCGAATGGGACCCAAAGCACTGCGTTTCATAAGGTCTTCTGAAAGCGTTTTGCCAAAGCTCTGAAAATATATGAGGACATTTCGCCTAGTTCCTCTATCAACTAGCATTTATGGTCGATGTCACTTGCTTAATCAAAAACCCTTGCTGAACCGTAGTGTTCATCACGGCATTCGCAACAAACGGAAGAACGCCCAAAATCGTAAAGGATAAATCTAGCAAGCGACAGGGTTAGCTACCAACATGTCTAGTTGGAAACCTGTTAGTCTCATTGTTGCTGTGATTTCACGGAAAGGAAGGCAACAGAGGAACCTGTGAAATTCAGGTCTTAATGAGAAAATAGGCAGAAGTAGGGCTCTACTGACAATCCAGCTCTTTCCTTCTCACCTCTTCCCCTGTCCCAATGGGAACAGGGCCAAAAGTGCATATAGAGCAGCATCACCGCTCCACCCCTCTATAAGTGTCTTCTAATCAGATGATCAAGAAAAAGCCACAGAGATCCCGTAAAAAATCCATAATCCAGCAGGGAGCCATCACCGGATGAAGTGGCTAATCAGTGGTTGTATCGTGCTGTCGATGTCTGTGTACCGAGTGGATAAGAGCCCGCTATCTGTGTGTATGTATGTGTACTCGAAGTATTAGTAACTAAGAACATGTATATACTTCTTCACGCACACAACGACCCTAGCTCGTTGCTCATCTCTTGGAACTGGGGCTTTCCGAGTTCAATTCCATTTTCGGCTGTCGGCCGGCCAATTTGCGACCTGTCCTCCAGCAATACGATACCGTCCAGCTTCATTGTCGTCACTTGTGCCACCTCAAAGGCATACGGTAGATGTCAGATAGAATTGCAGCGACACGCGAGCCGGGCATTTCAATTACGGATATTAGCGTCGTCGCCAGGTTTGCTTTCGGCGCATCGCACACGCGTCACGATACCGTAGCCTCGGAGGGAGAGGGTGAGAGCACCTGGCCAGCTGGCTCACTTTTAAATGCTATAGTCTCGATGAGTGCTAAAAGCTGCTAAATATATTTTGAGGGTTGTAATTTAAAAGGTATAGAATTGAATAGAGGCTAGTCATACTTATCGACCAGAGTGAATATGTTCGCCTGGGTACTTTCGTTCGATCAATTATTTAAATTCGAACTCAGCACTCCTGAGCAACCTCTCGCACTTGAAATGCTCTTTCCCGTGTCGCCTATAATTGAATTTGACGAAGTGCGATTTTATAAAAGTGAAAATTCACCGAAACTACCTAGCTATGCGTTTCAGCGTCCTCGTCAAAAAGGCATA